ATACATTTTTACATATTAATGTACATTTTTATTTTAACATTTATTACATTATTACATTTATATTTACATATATATATTTATATATTATCATATGTATTTATTTATATGTTCATATATTACCATATTCATATTTATATTTTATTTATATATACATTTACTACATCATGCCGAATTGAGATGACGCCAATCTTTTATCACAAAATGGTTTTTTTGTATAAAATAAAAAAAATTTATTCATTTAGTCTTTAGAAACAACCTTATTGTTATCGAGAATTATGGCAGAAGCACCCGCTCTCAGTGTACAAATAGTTCGTGGTTTAAACGATAGAGTTTACGAGAAACGTAAAGCAGCTGCATTAGAAATAGAAAAGTGGGTGAAAATGAATTCAAAAAAACTAATTATAGCTTAACATTTAAAAAGAAAATAAAAAAAAATTGAATTAATTATTTTTTAGAATTTTTATTATTTTAACATACATAATAACAACCTTTCACCCTTTTTTTATTTTTTATATTTGTATATATATCTAATAGATTAATTAGAACGCATTTTGCTTCTAATAATGTAGAAAAAATTAAAAGTATTATTGAAAAACTCACTCAAGATTTTGCTTACTCTGCACATCAAAATTCACGTAATGGAGGTCTAATAGGTTTAGCAGCAGCCGCAATCGCTTTAGGGCCTGTATGTATCAAAAAAAATTATATTTACAATAGACAAGATATATATACATACACATATTAATATCATTTATTTTGAAAAATAGGATGTGGCACCCTATTTAGATGATATTGCTACGCCAGTTCTTCATTGCTTTACTGACCAAGAATCACGCGTAAGATATTATGCGTGTGAAAGCATGTATAATATTGCAAAGGTTTCTAAAGGCGAGATTTTGAGATATTTTAATGAGATTTTTGATGCAATGAGTAAGGTAAAGAAAAAAAATTTTTTTTTTTGATGAATTAAATTATCATTACTTCATATCTAACCATGTACCTTAAAATATATGGGAGCCATTCTAACAAAATCAGGTCTGAGACTCGTTAATCAAATTTGAAATAAACAAGTCTCAGACATTGATTTTGCTGGATTATATCCCATGTACATATATATATGCATGCGTTTCACATTTATAGCTAGCCGCAGATGCTGACTTACCAGTGAAAAATGGAACAGAACTATTGGATAGGTTAATTAAAGATATTGCAGCAGAACAATCAACCACATATGTTTCAGTTTTAGATGCCCCAAGCCTTGTTTCAAATGACGATCAAGATTTTTCAACGGATCCAATGAATATCCCAAGAACCACAGCATTTTCATTACCAAAATTTATTCCATTGTTGGCTGAACGTATTCGTGTTAAAAATCCATTCACACGATTGTTTTTAGTTTCATGGATTACAGTATTAGACTCAATACCAGATCTTGAATTGGTTTCTTTTTTACCAGATTTTTTAGATGGACTAATAAATTTTTTGAGTGATCCCAATGAAGCTGTGTGTGTTTCAACTTCCAACGTCTTGGCAAATTTTTTAACAGAAATACGTGAAGCTGTTGAGGTTAAAGAACAACAAAAACAACAAGCTATGAAAATCTTTTATGTTGAACAACAACGAAAATTTGCAAATTTATCTGAAAATAATAGCGAAACAGGCGATAGCTTGAAAGATGGTACTGTTACCAATAGCAGCGTTGATGATGATAACTCTACTTTGGTTAAATCAGTTGATGCTGGTGATGCCTTTTGGGATTCTATATCTATAAGTGAGATGGAGGGTAAAGGTAAAGGAACCTGGGTCCCAGGTCAAAGTGTAGAGATCAATTTTACCAGAATTATTGAAATTTTAATGCCACATTTAAGTTCCTCAGGTATTATAAAACAATGAGAATGTATTTGTTTGAATAGTTTTGTTGGGATATTGAAGATTTAATAATAATATGATTATTATTCATTTATAGTTGAACAAATTCAAGAAACAGCATTGAAATGGATAAATGAATTTATTAATATTGCTAAAGAAGTGGTCATCAGCTTTACACCTCAATTAATAAGTGCTGTCTTACCCTCCTTGGCTCATTCAGTTCCAAATATCCTTTCATACCAATGTACACAGTTCATATATGTGTATTCAAATATTTGTCTATTTGCTTGTTTTCTTCAGAACATTGAAATATAACTTCCTTAACAGATTATTATTAATATTATTATACAAATTAGAAATTGTGCCATAGATGTCAACAAAAACCTTCATAAAATGATCTTAGAAACACCAAATTTTACCAATACTTCTTCTGCCTTACATTCAACTTTTCCAAAGGACCATAATAATAACAAAAACGACAATATCAATAATGATGATGGTGATATTAATAACCAATTGTCAACAATCTCACATAACAAATTTTCAAAATCAACCAGTGTAGATGTAAAAATTGATTCAAATAGTGTTGTAGATACGTCACCTTTAATAGAGGAGGAAGTTGATCCTTTTGATTATCGATCAACAGTTAGATCATTGGTGGATCAATTTATTAACAGCCATGAAGAAACAAGAATTGCAAGTTTAGATTTGTTGATAATGCTTCATAAAAAAGCGCCCAAAAAGGTTTTTATTATTTAAAGAAAAAATAATTAATTAATTAATATAAAAAAAAATTTTTTAACAAACAATTTAAATTTATTTAATTTACAGATACTTGCTTTTGATGATGGGTATTTTCCAAATCTATTGGAACTTCTCTTAGATCCATCAGAAGAAGTTGCAAAACGTGATCTTCAGCTTCTTGCACAATTATCTTCAAGTTCTCAAGATGAATATTTTCCAAAGTTTATGGTTGACTTGTTGAAATTGTTTGCTACTGATCGCAAATTATTAGAAAACAGAGGAAGTCTAATTATTCGGCATTTATGTCTGAGTCTTAATTCAGAAAGGATATACATGAGTTTTGCTGAGATTTTGGAAAAAGAAGAGGTTAAAGTTTTAAATACTCTTTTTTATATCAATCAATATGAACCATTTATTTAGAAAAAAAATTTTTTTGTTATAAATTGTAGGATATAGAATTTGCTTCAAATATGGTACAAAATCTCAACAGTATACTTATAACGTCACCAGAACTTTCAGATTTAAGAAGAAGATTAAAACACTTGGAGGCAAAGGATGGACAAATGTTGTTTACAGCATTATATAAATCATGGTGTCATAATCCAGTTGCAACATTTTCACTTTGTTTATTAGCTCAAGCCTATGAACATGCCTCGAACCTTTTGCAAAATTTGTATTTTTCAATTCTTATTTATTTATTATTTATTTATTATTATGTTTTATTCGTAATATCGCTTATTTAAACATTTATTTATTTTTAGTGCTGAAATAGAAATCACCGTTAATTTGTTGATCCAAGTTGATAAACTTGTTCAATTATTGGAATCGCCAGTTTTTACCTGTAATTATCCAAAAGAAATTTCGATTTATTTCTATTTGTCAATTGATTGATTTTTTCAATTTGTTGTTAATTAATTGATTTCTTATTCTAGATCTCAGATTACAACTACTTGAACCAGACAAATACCCACATTTGGTAAAATGTTTATATGGATTATTGATGTTATTACCACAAAGTAGTGCATTTGCAAGTTTAAAAAATAGGTTGACAAGTGTCAGTTCTATGGGATTTTTGCATTTAATGCCAAAAAGGTTAATATTATACACACATGCATACATACATACATATGTATATATATGTACAATAAAAAGATATCAGATCATTAAATTTTTTTAAAAATTTTTTATTTAATAAGTCCAAATGATTCAAAAAAATCAATTAGTAAATTATTATCATCAAGAGATGAAGGAATTAGGTTCCAAGATTTGTTGACGCATTTCAAAACGGTTCAAACAAAACATGAAACAATTCGTAAACAAGGTAATTTAAATATAATATTTAACGTTTTTTGATGATTGAATGAATAAATATTGGATAAGATTTGTTTATGATTAATTAACCGCAATCAATTATATTTATAGCTCGTACTATTAAGAAAAGTAATACTACACGTAGAAGAAGAAATCAAGATTAGATATTTCCCTTATATATTTATTTTTTCTCTTTGTAACTATTTAAATACATAGACTTTTTATATTTATTTATTTATTTATCTATTTGTTTGTTTATTATTGTATTAGTATGTGTGTATATATATTTATTCATTTTCATTTATTTTTATCATAAGAGACATTTTTTTAAATAAACTATTATTATTATATACTATTACTATTTATTAAACTTGCAAATTCGAATTGTATATTTAAATCGTTTATTATTGTTGTTAAATGGCTGGTCAGAAAAATCAGAAAGAACAAATTTGGAAATGACTTTTTTAAAAAATAATCAAAAAACAAGCTGTTCAATGATGATAGTAAAGTTTCAAAGATAGCTTCTTCTGCTAATAATGACAAACAACAACAACAAAATATTTATCCAGTTCATAGGGCAACTCCTTCTACTAATTCCAACTTGTCTTCATCAAAACTTTCATCAAATTCATCTGAAACAATCACTTCTTGAAATAAATATTAATTATACACAAATTTAAAATATATCTTAAAAAACGCGTAAAAATCTTACTATGTAGATCAGTGCCAAAAATAGATATAAAAAAATAACCCTCTGTTAAAGTAAGGGATGCGGTATGTATTGACATCAAATATAAATTAATTATATATTTAATGTTCTTATCATATATCTTGTCGCTTTTATTTTTTCATAGGCTTATCCATTCAATCATTATACGCTTTTATATTAGTGATAGAAATATTAAAAGAAGTAATAGGATCATTATTATTACTGTTATAGTTGGTTTAACAACATCTATTTGGATTTTATTACTAACGTTAACGTTAAACATCATTGTTATCACAAAGTCTATAGTTGAACACATTCATAAATTTATAATGGAAAATTTTAACAATTCGCAACAAATATAACCCGGATGAATGAATATGCACCACTTGATGAAGTGAGCAATGCCAGTTATGCTAATTGTACAGATAATCCAGGTATACTAGCAACAACCTCCACTACAAGTGAAGATGTAAACTATGATGATAATGATGATAATAGTGACGGTTGTAATATTTTTATCAAAGATTATCACAACATTTTAGAGTATGAGGACATTAAATATTTAATGGAAAATTTAAAGATTTTTTTTTGTTAATTTATAGTGAGTATAATTTGTTTTATTAAATTGCAAACAATAGCACCATTATCTATATTTTTTATTTTTTATTATTATAGAAAAACATTGGTATCTTTATGTGTTGGACCATCCTTATGACGGCATATACAGATGCAATTGTAAGCCTCGCAAGAGAGTATATTATTATAATTAATGACAACAGATTTGTTGTCAGCAGATCTAGACAACTTGATTTATTTAGATTCTTGTGATTTTTCATCAATTACAAATAAAGATACAAAGGATTATGGAATTTTAGATAGCGATAAAAATTCCAAAGTATCATTGGCAGTTGTGTGATTGTTGATATAGAAAATGGCCAATTTACACATTGTAAGAAAAAAGTATGTAGGCCAATTAAACAATCAATGGGTGCGTGAGAAATTAATACAGAAACAGTTATTGATGCTCTAGAAAAGATAAATAAAATGCTATGATCAGCTTGGAGTTTATCAAGCCCACTTCCATATTGATCAAAATGGTCCCCATGAACCTGGATCAAGACGTCAAGTATCCATTGAAAAAACTGGATACATAAGAGGCGTTGTCTTTTAACATTTTATCCAAGTTTCCAAATAATAAAAGAAAAGATGAAAGCGAACAGCAATAATAAAGTTATTTAACTAAATCATCAAATAAATTTTTATCGAATCAAAAATTTTCTTTGAATTCTTCGCAATTAAAACCTTTGAAAATGACTCAACCATCATTATGATCCATTAAAAAGCGTGTGTATATCACTACTGAAAAGAAATGCGAATCATGTTTATTTAAAACAAAACAAGTTTTTAATAGGAGGTTGCTATGAGTTCGTGTATATAGTCATTAAACAAGTATGGAATTTCCGAAAATTTAATACATTATAAATTACATTCAATTTTTCAATACAAATATATTTTCTTTTACAACGTTGTTAATTTTTGCAACCATGGCCTCTAATCTTTTAAAACTGCCCTAGAAATTTTTAATTGAGAATAATCAAATCAAGGATCTGTAGTTTTCCTAATGTGGGATGGGAGGGAGCTCGACTAATTGAAACAACTTGTCCTTCTGCTAACATACTTTCATCAATGTTCAATGTTATGTGTGGTAGGTCAATCCTTGAGTTTTATGAATAGCCAGAGCAAATGCATTCTGAAGAGGAATTGTTTTCTTGAACTTTCTCGTTTGGTAAATTTAAAAATTTAGAATGCCCGATAAAAAATTTGGGAATCAAACATTTTCCGAGCATCCAAGAACAATTAAAGAAAGCAAATGAAAGGTTGGAAGAGACAGGAGGTGGAAAGAGAGGTGGAAAGAGAGGTTGGACAGGTTAAAGAGGAAGAATGTGGAAGAATGTTAAAGGAGGAATTAGAATGAGTTAAAGAAAGAAGAAATGGTCGAGAAGAAGAGGTTAAGAGGTGGGGAGGCGTTACGAGAAATCGGTAGAAAGAAATCGTATAAAAAATATACAAAAATTATTTTCCATTTCGTTTTATTTATTTATTATCAATTTGAGGTATTAGTATAATGGTATAGGACCCGGTGCAAAATATTCAATGACCTCATATGTTTAGTTTGCTTATATTTGCGTATTTTATATTAGGCAAAAAATATTTAAACCAAAATTTGAATAAGTTCCGGCATCACATGCATAGTAATAGAAATAAAATTCCCAAGATTTTATCAAGTATGGGTATATTTCTAAGCTGAAAAGATTCCTCGCCTCAAACTGCATATAACTGCATTATTATTATTCCAAAAATAACAAAAAAAAATTGACTGATTATTTAAAGTGCGTGTTTTCACATGATTTAATGCTACAAAGATATAACAACCATTTATCACCTGATCAAACCTAGTGGCAATAATTCTGACATACCATTATTATTATATTATTGATGCTTTGTATTTGAATTGTGTTAATAGCATTATTGGTATTATTATAATCAATATTGTCATGAAGTGGATGCTTAATTGATTCATGATGTGATTTATGTTTAAGAAAAAATCAGTGTCTTTAGAATGATCAATAAATTGTTTAATGAGATAGTGTTGGTAATTTTGATTTTTTCCCAGTCTATTCTCTCTTGCTGTAGAGCCATTCCATGGCTTTATAAATTCCCAATTCTCTCAAGTTCACTATAGATTTTGGTGAAGAAACTTCCTTAAAAGGCAAAGATGAGCTTGAAGATTACTTGCTTAACGAGACCCTCTCAACAAAGTAGAGTCCACCCACTTTCCAGTGAGTTATTATCCCAGGTGATTATAGTACTGAGTTCAAGTGTGTTTTAACCTTTAGGTGTATTAAATAAGCTTGTTTTCATGGTCTTTGGTATTATCTTTTTGTAAAATTATTTTTATTTCTATGTAAATCACAAAATGTTGAATTGTAACACATATCATAAAAGAAAAGATTTCGTCATCATTTCTTTTTAAAAATTTTTTTGAATTCCAAAATTTTCTATTTTCCCTATAAATAAAATATGAGCTCCATAGGAACAGGCGTAGGTTATTACTCAAAGAATTGTTGGCATTTACAAATTAAAGACTAATCAAAGACTAATTAATTAAAATTTGATTAATTAATGCTTTTATTTATTAGTATGATATTTCAGTTGCCACATATTCACCTGATGGGCGTGTATTTCAAGTTGAATATGCAGCAAAAGCTGTAGACAACAGCGGGTACATTATTAAAATAATGAAATACTATATGCATAAATGAACGAATGAATAAATAAATAGATAGATGTTTTTGTATGCATAATCTATTTTAAAAATGCTATTTTAGAACCGCGATTGGCTTACGTGTTAAGAATGGAGTAGTTTTAGCAGTGGAAAAATTAAATCAATCAAAATTACTAGTTCCAGGATCAAATCGTCGAATTCAAACTGTTGATACTCATATTGGAGTAGTAAGTTCTTGTAATATATCATATATATATATAATTTATTATTTATTAGGAATAGATTTGATTTATAAATAAATATATACACATGTTTGTTTTTATTTGTGTAATTTTTAGGCAACAGCAGGATTGTTAGCTGATGGAAGACACATTATTAATAGAGCAAGGGATGAAGCAGAAGGTTATCGAGATACATATAAAACACAAATTCCTGGAAAAGTAAATTTTTTGATCTGTTCTAAAAAATAATTATTTATAAAATAATGATGATTAATCAAAAAATCTATTATTTCTATAGACAATAGCTGATCGAGTAGGACAATATGTACAAGCATATACATTATATTCAAGTGTTCGACCATTTGGAAGTAGTGCTATTATTGGAACTTTTGATAAAGATGGTCCTCAACTTTATATGGTTGAACCTTCAGGTGTATACTGGGTAAAAATCATAATAAAAAAGTTTTTTTATGTACTGGTAAATATTTTTATTTATTTGATTTCTCATTAAAACTTTTTATAAAATAGGGATATTATGGATGTGCTATTGGTAAAGGAAAACAAATTGCCAAAACAGAACTTGAAAAGCTTGTTCTTTCAGAAATGGATGTTTTGGAAGCTGTAAAGGAAGCAGCCAGAATGTAACGTTGATTAATATAAAAAAAAAATTTTTTTATTTTTATTTACTGTATTATTGATTATTTGTCAATATATGAAAATATGTTCAGTATTTATACAGTTCATGATGAAGCAAAAGATAAAGATTTTGAATTGGAATTGAGCTGGATCACAGAAGATGATCAAAAACATCGACTTGTACCCAAAGATATTTTTATTGAAGCTGAAAGATTGGCAAAGGTACAATGATAAAGTCATTATTTTAAATACATATAATATTGTGTGACTAATTCATAAATCTTTTTGGGGATTAGGAATCACTTAATCAAGAAGAAATGGATGAATAATTAAAAGTTGGATCTTTTTATTATTTATTTTATTATTCCCCATAATATTTATATATAATATTTTTATTATATATATAATAAAAAATAAACATTATTTTGAATACAATTTTAAATTTTATTGATTACTACCGTATGGGCATACAACAAAACAAAGTGAACATCATCATTATTATTACGTCACAGAGAATTCCAGGGATCAAAATAATGAATGCTTTATCTTTATCACACGTATTAATATTAATATTAATATTAATATAGGATTATCTCTCTACGTAATAATTGTCATGTTTTATCATTCATCCATAAAGAAAACAAAACGTTATTTTAAATAAGTATCTATAAAGTTGAAAATTTGCTCTTATTATATTTCTGGTTTAGATAAAAAAACTAAAATGTTATGATAAAAGAACTAGATAGTAATGAATTACGAATAATATATTTGATCCAACAATTAATGATATATTATAATTATAACAATGTATAAGTAATATAGAAAATAATGATTTAGAAATAGCTAATTTGGTTCATCTGGATCTAATATAATCTTGATGTTAATCAACCATTAGGAAATTCATTTAATATTGGTTATATGAATTATGATACACATTCTTTAGTTCAAAGTTTTATGAATGATGATGATTAAATAATTTGCTTAAAAAATAGCTGTGATTTTATTTTGTTGGTTTCACCCAATTACAGTTCTATAATAGATTTTCTATAACGGATCTTACTTTATAACTGAGAATTTGAGCTTAATTTATATGTCCCGTATACAAATTATTACTGTCTATAACGAATTCGAAGGAATTTTGGTGACATGGTGGAATTAGTGTATAGTTCACTCGGGCTATTTGGTTTACGAAAAACGTCCGTTATAAAGAGGGTTTATTTCACCCACCATTGGTGAAATAGTTTCAGGTGAATGATGCAAAAACTTCGTGGATCATATCTAAATTTGTCCAAACCCAAAAATTTTACAAACCCACGTGGATTTTATTCCTATTTTGAATCTGGTAATCGCGCGGCGCAACACCATAAGAACACCAGTTAGTTTCTCTTCCATTCTTAAAAGCAATTATTGGAAGTCTATTCTTTATTCTATTCCTTTAAATGCGAAAAACCTTTATCTGATGATTATCTAAGGTAGAAGATGCAATGGAAGTTTCATTCGAAGAATGCTGGGTAGTGAGCCAAAGTCTGAACTTCTAAAACATTGCATCTCGAAGGGTTTCCATTTTTAAATTTGACACCTAGGCTTAATATGACAGATTTATTTTATTTTTCAGGAATGATTTTTAAAGGAACTCTACAGCATGCAATTATATACAATTTGGAAGGACCAAGTAAAGAATCAATCACTAAAATTTTCCACTATCGCAATGGAACCTTTGTCCTACACGGAAAGAAGGCTCAGGTTAAAATTCAGCAAAAATATCAGGGGTTTCAAACATTTGCTCTTTAAAATTTCACATTTAAGAATATGCATCAAATAACAACAACATTAAATGTCTTTACCATTCTAATAGACCTTGATTGATTTATGTGTTCTTGATAAGAAAATCCATATCCTTCTGGTTATTAATTTCTGTTCTCCTTGGTAGATCAATATTTGTTTCTTTAAAAAAAAAAATATCAAATGGTCAAAGAGGAGACTTAAGTCTACCTAGAAGAATAAAACATAATAATAAATAAATAATAAATAAATAAGAATTGAAAAATACAAATTTTGCAAAAGGTTCGAGGCATGTTCATAGGCTTGAGCTAATAAACAAAGTGAAAATGTTGCAACTGGATTATGACACCATGATTTATATAATGCTGTAAACAACATTTGTCCATCCTTTGCCTCCAAGTGTTTTAATCTTCTTCTTAAATCTGAAAGTTCTGGTGACGTTATAAGTATACTGTTGAGATTTTGTACCATATTTGAAGCAAATTCTATATCCTACAATTTATAACAAAAAAATTTTTTTTCTAAATAAATGGTTCATATTGATTGATATAAAAAAGAGTATTTAAAACTTTAACCTCTTCTTTTTCCAAAATCTCAGCAAAACTCATGTATATCCTTTCTGAATTAAGACTCAGACATAAATGCCGAATAATTAGACTTCCTCTGTTTTCTAATAATTTGCGATCAGTAGCAAACAATTTCAACAAGTCAACCATAAACTTTGGAAAATATTCATCTTGAGAACTTGAAGATAATTGTGCAAGAAGCTGAAGATCACGTTTTGCAACTTCTTCTGATGGATCTAAGAGAAGTTCCAATAGATTTGGAAAATACCCATCATCAAAAGCAAGTATCTGTAAATTAAATAAATTTAAATTGTTTGTTAAAAAATTTTTTTTTATATTAATTAATTAATTATTTTTTCTTTAAATAATAAAAACCTTTTTGGGCGCTTTTTTATGAAGCATTATCAACAAATCTAAACTTGCAATTCTTGTTTCTTCATGGCTGTTAATAAATTGATCCACCAATGATCTAACTGTTGATCGATAATCAAAAGGATCAACTTCCTCCTCTATTAAAGGTGACGTATCTACAACACTATTTGAATCAATTTTTACATCTACACTGGTTGATTTTGAAAATTTGTTATGTGAGATTGTTGACAATTGGTTATTAATATCACCATCATCATTATTGATATTGTCGTTTTTGTTATTATTATGGTCCTTTGGAAAAGTTGAATGTAAGGCAGAAGAAGTATTGGTAAAATTTGGTGTTTCTAAGATCATTTTATGAAGGTTTTTGTTGACATCTATGGCACAATTTCTAATTTGTATAATAATATTAATAATAATCTGTTAAGGAAGTTATATTTCAATGTTCTGAAGAAAACAAGCAAATAGACAAATATTTGAATACACATATATGAACTGTGTACATTGGTATGAAAGGATATTTGGAACTGAATGAGCCAAGGAGGGTAAGACAGCACTTATTAATTGAGGTGTAAAGCTGATGACCACTTCTTTAGCAATATTAATAAATTCATTTATCCATTTCAATGCTGTTTCTTGAATTTGTTCAACTATAAATGAATAATAATCATATTATTATTAAATCTTCAATATCCCAACAAAACTATTCAAACAAATACATTCTCATTGTTTTATAATACCTGAGGAACTTAAATGTGGCATTAAAATTTCAATAATTCTGGTAAAATTGATCTCTACACTTTGACCTGGGACCCAGGTTCCTTTACCTTTACCCTCCATCTCACTTATAGATATAGAATCCCAAAAGGCATCACCAGCATCAACTGATTTAACCAAAGTAGAGTTATCATCATCAACGCTGCTATTGGTAACAGTACCATCTTTCAAGCTATCGCCTGTTTCGCTATTATTTTCAGATAAATTTGCAAATTTTCGTTGTTGTTCAACATAAAAGATTTTCATAGCTTGTTGTTTTTGTTGTTCTTTAACCTCAACAGCTTCACGTATTTCTGTTAAAAAATTTGCCAAGACGTTGGAAGTTGAAACACACACAGCTTCATTGGGATCACTCAAAAAATTTATTAGTCCATCTAAAAAATCTGGTAAAAAAGAAACCAATTCAAGATCTGGTATTGAGTCTAATACTGTAATCCATGAAACTAAAAACAATCGTGTGAATGGATTTTTAACACGAATACGTTCAGCCAACAATGGAATAAATTTTGGTAATGAAAATGCTGTGGTTCTTGGGATATTCATTGGATCCGTTGAAAAATCTTGATCGTCATTTGAAACAAGGCTTGGGGCATCTAAAACTGAAACATATGTGGTTGATTGTTCTGCTGCAATATCTTTAATTAACCTATCCAATAGTTCTGTTCCATTTTTCACTGGTAAGTCAGCATCTGCGGCTAGCTATAAATGTGAAACGCATGCATATATATATGTACATGGGATATAATCCAGCAAAATCAATGTCTGAGACTTGTTTATTTCAAATTTGATTAACGAGTCTCAGACCTGATTTTGTTAGAATGGCTCCCATATATTTTAAGGTACATGGTTAGATATGAAGTAATGATAATTTAATTCATCAAAAAAAAAAATTTTTTTTCTTTACCTTACTCATTGCATCAAAAATCTCATTAAAATATCTCAAAATCTCGCCTTTAGAAACCTTTGCAATATTATACATGCTTTCACACGCATAATATCTTACGCGTGATTCTTGGTCAGTAAAGCAATGAAGAACTGGCGTAGCAATATCATCTAAATAGGGTGCCACATCCTATTTTTCAAAATAAATGATATTAATATGTGTATGTATATATATCTTGTCTATTGTAAATATAATTTTTTTTGATACATACAGGCCCTAAAGCGATTGCGGCTGCTGCTAAACCTATTAGACCTCCATTACGTGAATTTTGATGTGCAGAGTAAGCAAAATCTTGAGTGAGTTTTTCAATAATACTTTTAATTTTTTCTACATTATTAGAAGCAAAATGCGTTCTAATTAATCTATTAGATATATATACAAATATAAAAAATAAAAAAAGGGTGAAAGGTTGTTATTATGTATGTTAAAATAATAAAAATTCTAAAAAATAATTAATTCAATTTTTTTTTATTTTCTTTTTAAATGTTAAGCTATAATTAGTTTTTTTGAATTCATTTTCACCCACTTTTCTATTTCTAATGCAGCTGCTTTACGTTTCTCGTAAACTCTATCGTTTAAACCACGAACTATTTGTACACTGAGAGCGGGTGCTTCTGCCATAATTCTCGATAACAATAAGGTTGTTTCTAAAGACTAAATGAATAAATTTTTTTTATTTTATACAAAAAAACCATTTTGTGATAAAAGATTGGCGTCATCTCAATTCGGCATGATGTAGTAAATGTATATATAAATAAAATATAAATATGAATATGGTAATATATGAACATATAAATAAATACATATGATAATATATAAATATATATATGTAAATATAAATGTAATAATGTAATAAATGTTAAAATAAAAATGTACATTAATATGTAAAAATGTATATGTAAATGGTAACAAAACTACATTGCAGCGAACCATCTACTGTTGGACATTCCCGGAAATGGCCATCTATTTAATTACTATTACTATGTGTTTCTATTACTATTATTTCTTCTAAAAATATTCGGCCCATGCCACTGTCAAAAATGTTTGAAGGATGATTAATTAATCGATTCCATGCTATGCGACAAAGTGTGTTAGGATATTCACACACTATAAATTTCACAACGAAGCCCCACTTGAAAGAGGACCGGGAAAACTCTATTGTGTGTCACCGCCAAATCAAACAATCAAACATATAAATTCGAATTTTGTTTTTTATAATTATTATTATGCGTAGCAACATTTAACTATTGATGCGAATCAAATATGGCCTGACATTCAAAATTTTAATAGAATTCAAATTGGAATATGAGCGTAACATCTTATGAATTGCCTATCAAGTTTTCACGTGAAAAATATTGTTGAGATATTGAAATATAAACTTTAATAGAAATATATTATCCAAAAATCCTGCATGCTTTGTCTTTTACCTTATTGATTGGTTTACATATTTTTTTACATTGGATATAGTAAACTGCTAAATTTTCTTTGTCCAAACACCAAGCTGCCTCAGCTTCTAATGCTCTTTCAAACTCTTGTCTTTCTATTTTATTAAGACTTTTACTAGAAAAAGGTCTGTTTTCAGGAAATTTTAGGAAAAAGTTGTTTTTGCATCATTTTCAGGTCTTTTGTCACACCAAAAGTTGCTATTTATGACATAATTAATATATTTTAAATCACAAAGACTCGACACATATTCATGTTTTCATTCCTCAATCCTCACAGACCATTATCAATATATTCCATGAGATTTTCTTTTTAACCAACATGCTTCAATTCAAGGCTGGTTCTCCACAAAAAATTACAATTTTTACTCTGAATGTTTTTTAAAATTGCAACTTGATAATTGCTTCCAAATGAAATAGTTTTACCACGTTTGCAAATAACTTGTTTAGCACTGATAAATTCATGAAAATTAACAAATGAAGTAAGGAAGTTGTTTATTTTTTTTTACGAATTATAGTGAAACTAGTAACCTTTTTTCTATCATTATGTTTGCTGATCTTTTCTTCATGCGGGCAGTGACATTTTTAAATTTTAAAGTACTATTTTCGAATCATAGTGTTGGCGGTGACGTTCAATGGAGTTTTCCCGTCCTCTTGAAAGCTGGTAGTGGTTACACCAACTGCATACCTTATTTGTACGGAATTCATCAATGTCTTTGGCATATCGTCCATGACTAAGAGCGAGCATTTTCACAGGTCCAGGTGTATTTCCTGCAGATACCATTGAGTTATTACTGAATTTCTGTCACATTCAGTAAGCCTTTTTCAAAACTTATATATTTCTCCCATCTTGGACGCTTTCATTTTTGTTGGTCATATAAACTCTAGACTCCGTTGAAGCTGTTGGAGACATAAATTTAGATGTTGCTGGACTGTGCTAACTTTGGATGTCAGCATATTCTTGATCAATAACAGGATCATTGTCAAGCCATTCCTTTTTGTGACTTGTCTATTTTAATCAATAATAATAATAGTTAATTAATGTAAATTTTTATTACAGAGATTAATTTATTTATAATAATTGTCACTGTCCTTTTATCCATAGCTTGGTAAAAATCTCTGTGATCTGGATTTGTCGTTTTATTTATGTTTCATCAATGATTCTTAATGAGAAGATGACAACTACTTGAGTTGCTTCTGGAGGTGCCATACTCGGGTTTTTAGTTTCGTTTGCATTTTTCTTCTAAAGCAATGTTTTGGAGCTTGTTTAAAACCATACTAACAAACATAATCAAATCTTCTCATATTTTTTCTTTAGAGACATGAGAAGATAAAATGTCTCATTCATAAGTTAACGATTTGATCTTTGGCATCTTTGTACCAGTCAAGTTTTAAAGTGATAGGAGGACAGTGCTATCAACATAGGACCAGTGTTGAAATTTCGTTGTGTAACCAGTACAAATTTAGAAACTATCTCCAAAAATTAAAAGGTTGATTGGTGTGTAATGTTACACCCCCGCATTCCCCGCACCGAATTTTCAACACTGCATAGGACGAAGATAACATTCAGAAAGCATGTTAAAGGGTCTATATGTGGATGTTTTTCAAAAGTACTCAAGATTTCATTTTCATCAAGGGAGATAAATTTCCCATCTTGGTCTCATTAAATGAGAAGAGCATCTTATAATTATAGACTACCTTTTGAAGAAGATACCAAAGGTATATGTTTTGTTTAAAATTTAAATGAATTCTTCTTGGATAGTAAAAGTTTTTTTTTGAAACCAATAACTCTTCATTTTTTTCTGAAGGGATCATTGGCCAACCTAAACTAAAAAATAAGTATTTATTTGATTTGTTTATTGTTAAAGAGTCAAAAATTAGATATGCTACTTAATTTATAAAATAACCAACAACGAAGAATGTTTATTAAAATTTGTTGTAATATCATTTCCTTTTGCAGACTTGACTAATGTATTTATGTTTTGGCCAAATTACTCCCAAAAGTTGGGAAATTAGAGCTTTCTGAAAGCATTCGCAAGTTCTCAGTAGGCCAAGGCATGCTTCTTTAGAAAAGCTTTTAACAATATTTTCAAGAGTGAATTTACTGTTAAAAACAACTCATCCAATTTCAATTCCATCCTTTCCTGGATGACTTACTCAACCATTGTTAGGTCAAGTGGATCCTTCCAAAGTTCTTAAAGTTACACCAGTATATTTCTGAACTCTTGGTACTGGCCTAGAGTCCTACTTTATTATGATCAATCAAAAATGAAATCACTATGATAGTCACATGGTGTAGGATGATTGACCAAATATTTAGGCTGTGTGGAGTATCGTAATTAAAGGGACATTGGATGATGGAATTCTTAGAACATTTATCTTATCTATATATAATATTAGCCATATTACCTATTTTATGATTTTGTTTATATTATCATTCAGCTGACATAAATATTTATATTTAGTATATAAAATCATGTAAAGGTCATGTTATTTGTAAAACTTCAAGAGTTATAAATAAGCTTGGAATTGTCCAGCTTAGAATAATTGTCTTAATAGTCTTAATTTTCATTAAATAAACTTTCTTTGTGAAAACCTTTTGATGAAAAAGTGCAAGTGCTTAATATTTAATTATTATTAATAATGTATCCAAGGGGATGATGCCTTTAGGACTTATGGATGTATATAAAATGTAGTGTATGGCTGGAGGATAAAACAGAGGAGACCTACCAGAATTTGTCTGCAATAATAAGGATGGTTAATGACCAACACTAATAATATAAAAGGGAAACTAGCTAGAGAAGTAAGATTTTAGGAATTGCTATTAACAAAGGTATTAGTAAAGAGGCTAGTGCCATAATAGCATTCATTGTGTCAAACTCAGACTGCACACTTGCAGTACCTTAAAATTTAAAAATGTCACCACCCCCTTATATTCACATTAATAAGGAAGAAGGAAAGGTGACTGTGACACTATGGTGCAAAGCATCTGTAATCATTAATTGTGGTAGGAAAATTAATTAAATCAGATACCATAATCAATATTATCAGATTTATTCATGATTTTAAGGAATTATACAATTGGGGAAGGGAAAAATTTTTTTTTTGTTCATTCCCAACAGCACTAGTCAAACCTGCTCCAAAGGGGTAGAATTATTATTTTGCAAACCCCAGAAACCCAGAAATCAATTTTAAAAATTTTGTTTGTTGTCCAAACACATTTTTTACTAAATAAACATGGAACCAAAAGCTTTTATCAAACCATAATGATTGCAAAGTACAGTACAAATCTGGCATAATTGTATAATGGTAGTTTCTTCTCCCAGTTGCATTTACTTCATTGAAAATTATTTCGTTGACAATCATTTGTCAACACCCATTTCATCAAAAGTTTGTCTCATTGAATGTTCATTTTGTTGAATGTTCATTTCATCAAAAATTATTTCATCCTTGAGCCAGAGACTGAATGAGTTAGATGCAAGTAGTGTGGGAATTTAGTTAAGAAGTTAGGTGAGGAAAGCAGAGTGTGTGGGAAGTATGAGGAGAAATTTGTTTAATGAAGTTTTTTTTTGTGACAAAATAATTTTTGATGAAACAAATTTTTGGCAAAATGAACATTTGACAAAATGAACTTTCAACAAAACAAACTTCCAACAAAATAACTGTTGACAAAATGATTATTGACAAAATGAATCAGATCCTAAATTTCAATCAACATTTATAAAATAAATGATTTCAAATATTATTTATTAATTATTAAAGCCTTAATTTTTTTAATATTTTTTTTGCAAACAATAACAATTATTTATTTAATTTTATTGCTAAATATTATTACAATATCATTATCAATACCATAATTTTTATAAAAATTTACTAACTTTGAATTGTTTGGCAATTCTGTTAATATTTTATATATTTTGTTATGATCTACAGTGAACCCTCCCTAAGTGCATCCTCCCTAAATGCACGCACTATGTATACCCTCCATAAATGCACAGCCCATCTCATCCCCAAGCTTATAGAGAGCTTATAAAATCACCCTCCATAAATGCACACCCTCCATAAATGCACGCTCACAAGAAATAGCACTATGTTCCTGAGGGGGGTGCACTTATAGAGGGTTCACTGTATTTCAATTGATCTATATATAATTATAAAATCTAACATTTTTTAATCTAATACAATTATTGAATATTTCTATTAATTCCTGATCCAATTCATTATTATACAATATAGATAAATTTTCTAAATGTTTGCAAGATTGTGCTATTGATTGAAATAGCTTTCTTGAAGATTCATGATCATATTGTAAATTACCAAATTCACCATTATTAACATCCAGATTTTTAAGATTTTTTCCATTTATATTAATAAAATCAGACAATTCGGAAAATTGTTGATTGTATATATATAACTTCACAGCAGGGTTGGCAAATGCACAGTCCATTGATGGTCTATTAATAGTCCATTGGGTCCATTAATATAACACTTTAATCATATTTAGTAATTTATTAATGGCAATGGACCAGTCCAAAATCCATCTGTTCTCAATGAACCAGTCAATTTTCCAACCCTGCTTCACAGCTTCAATATTTGGAAATGAAATATTTTTCCAACTTTTTACTTTGCCAGCATAAGATCTTAACTCTAAAGTTTTTAAATTTTTAAAAGTTGATAATAATAAATCATCTAAATTATTTCTTTTGCAACAAGATCCATAAAAAATTATTGATTATGATTGTGTTAATATTGCTTTTTTTAATTCGCCTGGTAAAATTTGTTTTCTTTCTGACCCAATATCTAAATATTTAATTTGATTCTAAAGACTAGTGCCGTAAATTATGATGATGGTAGTAATTGTATTTATGGCATATAAAAAGTGGTTTCAATTACCTTTGCAACCACTTTTGCAACCATACTTTTTCCTTTTTTGGATTACAGCACTAGTCTTTATTTGATTCTGTGTTTTAATTAGCTGTGCTAATTCATATAAATCTTTATCATCTTTAGCAGTATAATGTATTTTTAAT